TCGTTTGTGTTGTTCATAAGTAACACACAGTTTTCCTCGAAAAATCTTGATGCTTTACACGATGCATCCTTATTAGCAAAATGTTTCCTGAATGAGCAGTGAAGCTGAAGACAAAAACTTCCGTCTATTGATAATGTTTAATGCAATAGAGGATAGTAATTTGCTGGATTCAACGGGCAGTGGCGCCGAGGTTACTCACTGTTCGAAATCCTGTCCAGTCTCCGATTAAAAATGCGCATCCATGATATCTGCAGGCGACGGCAAATCTTGCACTGAGGTATTGCTTTGGCTGTCGGAGCATGACTCACATTGACTGTACGGTGAAACGTCGCACCAGCTGCAGCGCTGCAGGGCAAGCCTGATTTCCTCCACTACCTCCAGTAACTGGAATAGATTGGTTTCACTGTAGCATCCGTTTAAATCGGTGTAGTAATTTAGCCTTTACGAAGCGACATACTACAAATGGGTAGGCAACGCGAGTCAGTGATGAACGCCGAAGCCTGAAATTGTGAAAGAAGGAGCAAGCTGGATTCTGAAAAGTGGCGTAATCCATCACCACAATTTTGCGAAGATTCATCATAAAAAATTTCGAGACACTTTTTGCCGCGGAAGCACAAATTTTTAAGCAAAAACTTGTGAACAAACCATCTGTTCATTATTGTTTTTATTGTCACGCTTCAGCTCATCTTTGGCTTCGCTGTATATGAGCCTGAGCAACTCGACGCCCTCTTCTACCACCAGCGACATCCCTTCTGAATCTAAACTTCCTTTTATTGCCTGTTTTTATAAAATTTTGTAAGGCGTTGAAAGACCTTAGTAAACGAGTGGAAACGACCGCCCAGGAGACTTTTAATGAGTGGATTTGCTAAGACAGTGAAGGCGTTATTTCCTCGCTTGACAGATAGCTGCATCTCAGTAAAAAAAATCTATATACACTGTCCTGGAGTTCTGGGTGATATAATATCATTCGCTGAAGTGACTGAAAACTGGCAAGGCAGTCTTTGAGAAGTGAGAAAGCGAAAGGAACGTGGAAGCACTTCAAAATAAACAGGCATTTCCTCAGATCACTAAACTAGGCATCCGTGTGAGCAACATTTAAATCCGTCCCACGCTTTACTGGTCATCGTAGATTCGAAGGAAACAAAGTTGAGGAGCAAGCGTCTCCCAGATGTCTACACGTATCCCAGACTTCTTTTTATGCGTTTTTTGCAGCTATGCAGTGCAGAAAACGCATATTGACGAGGGGTTTTCTGTGTGTCCGTGTGTGCGTCTGTCACGGTTTTTCTTCTCAGGACCTACAAAAGCTACAGAGCTGAAACTTTGGGGACTTAATTTATATGCACGTACGGGCCCCAATCTCAAAAATTGGCGCCATTACCCGCGTGATACCCACGTACGGGCCCGCCAAAGTCTTTTCGGGTAAGTTCATAACTCGGGGATCTGATAAGCTAGAAAGCTGAAATCTTAGGGTAATGTTCCCCGTCCAAGTGGATATTATTGAGCTCAAACCCAGCCCGGGTAGGCGTGGTACCCGCGTACGAGCCCGCCAAAACTTTTTTTGGGTAAGTTCATAACTCGGGGATCTTATAAACTAGAGGAGTGTAATTTTGAGGGGATGTACTTCATCCATCTAAGTTTCATTCAGCTCAAACCCAACTCTCGGATATGCGTGGTAAACACACACGGGCCCGTGGAAAGTTTTTCCCGGTAAGTTGCTAACTCAGATGTCAGAGAAGCTAGAAAGCTGAAATTGTAAGGGGGTGTTTTCTGACCGTTCTGGCGGCCAGTCTTAATTTGTTTAGCTAGAAGTATTTGCCGAAAAAGCCGGTGCCGGTAGCAACAAAGACTGTGGGGAACTATGCAAAAAACGCATCTTCGCACGGGCAGCCCGTGCGTTGGCCAATTATTAAAAGTTTCGGGCAATATTGGCATAGTTTTTTGCCAGGTTATTCGTCAACTGCTGCAATGCCATCAAGCAGTTCCTCAAGTTCCAACGAGTTAAGACCGTTTGTTTTAAGTTAGTACTACAAACTACCAAAGTTACTGAATAATGGTCGCTGTGGAGTAGCGAGCACAGTAATCGTGCAGTCTTCAATTACAGGTTTACCCCGGATGTGCGATTCACAAAAATAATGTTGTCTTTCCTTTCTTTACCTTTTAATTACATTTCGTCTTCTATATATGCATACCTCCTCCACCTCTTCTACTTATTATTCAAAAACTAACTTTC